TGCTGACCCCTCCTACACAGAAATGTGCATTTCATCTAGACACATACCATTGCTCTGTTGAACCCCCTGTCAGTAAGGTTCATTTAGCAGTCAGGACATGCTAGAACACTAGGCTTTCCAGGTATGTGAGTGCAATGTGTTACTTGCGTGTAACACTTCCTTGTACAACTTTTTTTTTTCTTGTGAGCTTCGCCTCGGATGGCAAATGTTACCCTTTTTACCTGTTTCTGCATGCAAAACTAGGCAGTATAAACAAAGAAATGCATAGTATCTTCTTCTTTTTTGTTTAGATTTCATGTTGTAGCGTCAAAAGGAAATTTGGATTGTTTGAATGCCATTCTTACACATGGGGTTGATATCATAGCCACCGATGTTGCAGGTACGTTCCCCAAAGTTTAAGGGTGACATTTTTAAAAACACTTGGCATATGTCTGATTTCAATCCTCCAAACAAAAATCTACATTAAATGCTTGTTTGTACTATAGTATGGAACAGGCTAAAATAGATGCAGACTTGAATACGTGTTTCAGTATCTAATTGAAGTTCTTTGCTTCCGCATGGCTAGAAACATTGTAGAGAGTACATGGTTCTGTGTTGACTATAGTTTAGGTTCTCTGAATTGAACAGATTTTCAGGCAATAGAAAAGTTGAACTCAAAATAGCAAAAATGATTGTAAGTACTGTGGCTTCCCTGAATATGGACTCGTGTCTACATTTGCTATCTTAGCTTAGTAAACCTTAATACATAAATGTTTAAAAAATGCATGGAAATAGTATGGTTTATGGCACTCAAAAGGGTGTGGGGAAACCTTCAAAAAGGGTTGGGTTTGAGTAGTATGTAAAACCTTGGTTCAGAAACTAGCTTGGAAATCTTGAGGGATTTCATAACCTTGAAGTTCCATATAGGTTCTGAATTTTCCAGTGAGTCAGGAGGCATGTGGAAAGGTGGAGTATAGAAGAAATAAATTGTCAGTTATTTTATTTGTCAAACTTCTTGTTCTTTATGAATTAGTGTTACATACCTATTTATCGTGCATCTGGATAACAAGGGGAACATTTTAAATATCTTCATGGTATATTTTACTGTGTTCACAATGATAGCCCTACTTTTGTTCCCAATGTAATGCTTTTATATATTTTTAATCTATAGGGAGAAATGTGTTGCATCTGGCTGCAAAATATGGACATGCTCTTTGTTTGCAAAAGCTATTACAGGTATTAAAGACTGCAAGCCAATCCTTGTGCTGCCTTTTATATTTAGACATAAAAGAGAAATAGAAGTTTGTCAAGAGATCCTGTTAATTTTACACAAGTCAATTTTTTTAAAATAAGTTAAAGGCAGTGTTTGGTACTGCCCCGTCCCTAAATCGTATTTCTGATTTTTATCATCTTACAAGCCATTTTCCTACTTACAACTTTTCTTATCACTATTTTTATGCTCCAGTTCTGAAAAGTATGCAGAGGTGCACTTTAACTGAAGCTTTTAACATTTCTAGAATTTAAATATGAAGGTTTAAATGTTTCTAGTTCAGTGATTTCTAATTCTTTTATTTGTAAGCCTAAATGACTTATGCATTATAAATATTGGAACTAAATCCTAATTGATACATATGTAGTAATTAATAATTATTCTTGTAACAGTACAATTGTCCAACTGAAAATTTGGATCTTCAAGGGAGAACTGCTCTTCATGATGCTGGTAAGCAGTGTCTTTGCTATTTCAGGTGCTGCTGCATAAAACTTTATTTGTTAGTTTTAGGTTTAGGAGGTTCTTGTTTAAATTCTATTTTGCACTTGAAAAGGGTACGTTATGATAGAGTGCTTACTATAGAAGAAAGTGGCATAGCTTTTTTTCCTTCAAATTGACCTTTCTAAATCCTATGGTAGAAATTTTTTAGCTGATATAAAAAGAAACATTATTCAGGTAATATTTGTAGGAGCACTCAAGTTCTATTTTCAGGTGCCTAAAATTTTGACAAAGACCGTTTAGTTGAAATATCTCCTGCTTCTAAGCTTAAAAGTGCCTCTGTGTGGGGACAGAGGCAGTAGAGCGTGACACGATATTTATTCATTTTTAGTAAATGTGAGGAACTGGATTACTGCTTAAGACATCTTTGTAGGTGTAGGTTTGTATTCTTACCCAAATAGCTGCTGCTTTAAAATTTTGGAATTGTCATAGATTTTTGTCCATAGAGAGGAAGACATGCCTCTGATGGGTTATCAGTTTAGAAACAAGAGCAAAAGAAGCTTAAAAACTGCAATACAACAAATGAGTTTTTCTCTGAAACTTTAACAGTCTGGCAAGAATCGATGCTCTGAACACTGGTGTACAATGTCAGTGAACTAAGATAACCTGGGCATTTCAAATTGTACATGCTTTTAAGAGCAGCACCAGAGTTCATTGAATCAGTGCAGTAGAGGCTGGAAGCTGGGTTTTGGCATTCTGTAGGGATCTTACATAGCTGCTTCCATAAATGACTCTACTTTGTAACTAGTGGCCACCTGCAGCATCAGGCTAAGACCTGTTTAAAATTTTAGTACAGGAATGTCAGTTCCTGCCAATGAACTTCTCTTGCCCTGCAAACTTTGAGATGTGTGCTGAAGAATATAGTGGTCACTTATCCTTAGTCCTTCAAAAGCACAGCTCGGTGATAAACTATTAAATGTGTATTCTATGGGTGTCTGCATCGTCCTGCATAGACTAGATACAGGCTTCCCGTTTGCCTTCGAATCTAAGAATCTTGCTCCATAGGCTGAGAGCAGCATTCCAGGAGCGCTTAGCTGGTGACAAAGAGGGTATGTGTTCAGCAGCTCCTATGACTAATTAAAGGACAGCCACAAGTCTGAGTCCTCCCTGGTCCTGCAGAGCCGGAGGAATGGTGGCTGCACAGTGGAGCTCGGCAGATGATGGCTTCGAAGTGGAATCCACACACAAACCAATCTCTTTGCTTTGTTCCCCAAAGCTATGTCAGACTGTTCCTCTTGTATTCAGCTGCTGTGTGATCATGGCGCCTCAGTGAATGCCAAAGATGGAGTAAGTCGCTAGTTATTGCTCCCCTTCCTTTTCTTCGGACTCTAATGGCATGCTGCGTGTGTTGCCTTTCTCTGAGAAGGTGCCCTTTCCCACTTTGTCCTATTTTCCAGGATGGGAGGACACCCCTAGTGCTGGCCACTCAGATGTGTCGCCCAACAGTATGTCAGCTTCTGATCGACAGGGGAGCTGATGTGAATGCCAGAGACAAACAAAACAGGTAATACGGGGTGTTAAATACATGGGAGAGCATTCACAAAATACCTTGTTTCCACCAACCAAGTCTATAATTTCCATGGCCGTCTGTTTCGCTGTGTACGTAATCCTGCCTTATGCAGCTGAAAAGTTGTTGACTTGTGTAGAGACGAGGCTGCTGCTTGTAGTGAATTGGAGGCAGGTAGAGTTGATAGCTGAAAGCCCGAGTGAAAAGGACGTCCTCTTGTTTTCACAAATGCCTGAGTTCGAACATGTGTCTGTACAGAGTATCTCTTCACTGATGCCTGTCTGCTTCTCTGGCCCCAAGTCCCATTTAGGCTCCTAAGTGACTTTAGGTTGTCTGGTCACTTTTACTGGGTGTGTTTACATATTCGCACTCGGCGTTGCATGCACAGCCACCTCTTCCCCAGATATTTCTATTTGAATTCTAAATACGCTCTGTGGAGGGGGTAGGCGTGGGGCTTGTCTTGGCTGGAATATGGGATCTTGCAGCAATCCTTCTGAAAAGGGTGTGTGTGTGTGTGTGTATGCATGCACTTGCTTGGATGGAATTGCATGTTTCCAGGCTGGATATGAATATGGCTGGGGTTTGTGTGGGGCTCTTTTTTTTGTT